CGTCATTGTTGTTTGGCGGGTCCAGGCTGGGGATTCGAACCCGCCACCTTAGGTGTACGTGGCTGGCGCCTTAGCCGGTTGAGCCATAGGCGCCGGGCCTTCCTCTTCTTCTCAAAGTGTACTTTGCCTCACAGCTCTTGGTATCATCTATATTCTTTTTTCTTTGCTTGTGTGCGTGTGTGTGAGACGGGGGGCTTGCTTTTGCCCAGACTAGGCTTGAACTTAGGAACGTCCCACCTCTGTCTCCTGAGCTATATTCTTTTTTTTTTTTTTTTAGACAGAGCCTCAAGCTGTCCCCTTGGGTAGAGTGCTATGGCATCACAGCTCACAGCAACCTCCAACTCCTGGGCTCAAGCGAATCTCTTGCCTCCGCCTCCCAAGTAGCTGGGACCACAGGTGCCCGCCACAACGCCCGGCTATTTTTTTTTTTTTCAGTTGTAGCCATCACTGTTGTTTGACGGCTGGACTGGATTCAAACCCCACCTTAGGTGTATGTGGCTGGCACCTTAGCCACTTGAGCCACAGGGGAGCCCTGAGCTATATTCTTATGATAATTAAGCATTTGTTGCAGCCCAGACCTCTCCCTCTGAACTCAGAAATCCAACTGCTGCTCAACCAGACTCAACCCTTCAGCACCCAGCTCCCATCCCCAGAAGACCTCACTTGGCTGGGATGGCACTGACAAGCTTCCTCCGCTCTCCTGGCTTCTACCCTGTTCCCTACCACCTCCCCTCCCAAAGGCCCAGGACCCAGGCAAGCCTTTCCCCTCCCCTTACCCCTCTTGCTTGCCCTCAAGTCTTAGGTTTCCTGCCATCCTCCCAAGGCTGGGAGGCCTCCTTGCTGGGCTCTACCAGGTCGGATAGGTGCCTCCCTCAGACACATCCCCTGTCCTGCTCCATTGATTGACTCAGGTCTCTGCTCAGTGCCCCCTACTCCCACTCACGAGGTCTTCCCTGGCTCCCCACAGGATGGAGTGCCCAGTCCCTTTTCACTTGTTTTCTCTCTTCCATAGGACTCATTGCCACCTGTATTTGCCTATTTGCTTCTTTATACTGACCCTCCCCAAAATGAGAGCTCTATTAGGGCAGAGGCTTCTTCTTCTTCCTTTTTTTTTTTTTTTTTTTTAGACAGAGTCTCACTCTCTTGCCCATGCTAGAATGCTATGGTATCATAACTGACAGCAACCTCAAACTCTTGGATTTAAGTGATACTCCTCCCTTAGCTTTTCAAGTAGCTGGGACTACAGGTGCCTACCACAACACCAGCTAGTTTTTCTTTCTTTTCTTTCTTTTTTTTTTTTTTTTTAGAGACAGAGTCTCACTTTATCACCCTCGGTAGAGTGCCATGGCATCATAGCTCACAGCAACTTTCAACTCCTGGGCTTAGGCGATTCTCTTGCCTCAGCCTCCCGAGTAGCTGGGACCACAGGTGCCCGCCACAACACTTGGCTATTTTTTAGAGATAGGGTCTCACTCTAGCTCAGGCTGGTCTCAAGTTCCTGGGCTCAGGAGATCCACTTGCCTTGGCCTCCCAGAGTGCTGAGATTAGAGCTGTGAGCCACTATACCTGACCAGGCAGAGGCTTTGTTTTTTTTTTTGACAGAACAAAAGGGTACTGGCTCTCTAGGACTGCTCCAACTAGCTCAGGGACTGTCCCCAGTGAGGGAGTATGAGGATGCTGGAGCAAGAGATTCCCCCTACATTCTACCCAGTACCCAAGCCTCTAGAGGGGACAGGAGGCAGCACTCACCTGGCGGAAAGTATATTCAGCCACCTGGTAGAAAAGGTGCAGCAATGCAGGGTCTCCACTGTCACTGTAGCCCATGAGGAAGGCAATCATGGCTTCACTGTGTGGCCACCAGAGCTTCATGGCCCACTCTAACTGAAAGCAGAGCAGAGGCAGGCATCTGAGAGCCCTGGGTTCCCCTCCCGCCCCAACAGCCCACTCAGCAGGATACTCCCCTCATCTTTCCTAACCTAGCCCTCCAACTGGCCTAAGCACTCTGAGGGGCCCTAGGGCCCCTCAGAATGGGATGAGCTTCCTAACCTGGATGCATCCCAAGCAATCCCTTCTATAAGGACAAGGGTAAGCCGGGCGCAGTGGCTCATGCCTGTAATCTTAGAGGCTGAGGTGGGTGGACTGCCTGAGCTCATAGGTTTGAGACTAGCCTGAGCTACAGCGAGACCTCACCTCTAAAAATAGCCAAGACTTGTGGCAGGTGCCTGTAGTCCCAGCTACTCCGGAGGCTGAGGCAAGTGAATCTCTTGAGTTCAGGAGTTTAAGGTTACTGTGAGCTATGATGCTACTGCACTCTAACGAGTGTGACAAAGTGAAACTCTGTCTCCAAAATAAATAAATAAAAGGACAAGGGTGGGGTGGGCTCCCCTTTAGCCTGTCTGTCTTGTTAGTTGATCTGTCTTTGAGTCCCTTAAAACCCCTGCCCATGGCTGTCTCCAGATCTCTGGCAGGATCATAGCACAATCGGAAGCAACACAGCATAAGGGGCAATTCCACTCCTGGCTGCCAATGCGCTAGAATCACCCAGAGAGAATTTCACAGACATCAGACTCCAAAGGGGATGTATGTTTGAGCATCAGCATTTGTACACACTCCCGAAAGGTCTCTATGTGACATGGGGTTGGGATCCAGTGGCACAGAAGCTAAGAGCTGGCCTCTAAGTTTAAATCTAGCCCTGGGGCTTGGCGCCCGTAGCTCAAGCGGCTAGAGCGCCAGCCACACGCACCAGAGCTGGTGGGTTTGAATCCAATCCAGGCCTGTCAGACAACAATGACAACTTCACCCCAAAAATGGCCGGGTGTTGTGGCAGGTACCTGTAGTCCCAGCTATTTGGGAAGCTGGGGCAAGAGAACTGCTTAAGCCCAGGAGTTTGAGGTTGCTGTGAGTTGTGATGCCACAGCACTGTACCCAGGGTGACAGCTTGGGGCTCTCTCTCAAAAATAAATAAATAAATAAATAAATAAAATAAATCTAGCCCTTTCTATAAGACAAGGATGATGACAGCACCCATCTCCCAGGTCAGAAAGTCCTAGCACAGGGCTAGTAACACAACCCTGGGTCCTTTCTATAAAACAAGGATGATGATAGCACCCATTGCCCAGGTCAGAAAGTTCTAGAACAGGGCTAACACATAACCCTGGGCACTGTCCCACCTGGGTAGGGCAGAAGTCATCCACATCCTGGAAGTAGAAGAGGCCTCCATGTTCAGGGTCCCATCCAGAGTGGAAGGGCAACAATAGGAACTTGTCGATAATGTGGGCTCGAAGTTCGAGGTCACCTTTCTGAATGGAGTGACGGAGTAGGAACCAGCCTGCTTCCAGTGCGTGACCTGGCCAGGGGTTTGGGTAGGGTAGGACTAACCCTAACCCTAACCCTAACCAGATCCTCCCCCAGGCGGGGGAGGGTTCTGGCAGCTCAAGCCTTAGCCCCTCCCTCCTCAACAATGAACTTTCAACCTCTTCTCTGGAACTCCCAGCCCATGCCCCAGGCACTTCCAACTCTGAAGTCCACAACCCAAAGCTCAGTACTCCTCTCCTCCTGGGCTCCCCTTGCCTACCCAGCTCCCTCACCTGGGTTCTGGTGTCTCCCCAGGCAACCGGAAAGTTCCTTGCCATCTTCTGACACATTCTCCAGTATAGCTTGGCCATCCCTCTGCCAGGCAAGGAACAGAAGATAGTTCTGCCTCAAGCCCACCCACCCAGCCACCTAACTATAAAAACAGAGCCTCAGAAATTCCTTCCTCCCTCCCTCCCAAGCCTCTGGACATGCTGCCTTGGGCTGGCTTGGCTCAGAGGGACATTTAAAGATGGCAATTCACTGCCATCATGGGCTTAGGAGGTCCCAATCCTTGTATCAGGCCTGTGCCTCTCTGGGGGAAAGGTGAAATAACAGGGAGGCGCTTGTGGCTCAGTGAGTAGCGCACCGGCCCCATATACCGAGGGTGGAGGGTTCGAACCCAGCCCCAGCCAAACTGCAACAACAACAACAAAAGAAAAAATAGCCAGGCGTTGTCGCGGGAGCCTGTAGTCCCAGTTACTCAGGAGGCTGAGGCAAGAGAATCGCCTAAGCCCAGGAGTTGGAGGTTGCTGTGAGCTGTGACATTACAGCACTCTACTGAGGGGAACAAAGTGAGATTGTGTCTCCAAAAAAAAAAAAGAAAGGTGAAACATCAAATGGGGACAGACAGAGCAAGCTTGCCTGCCTACAGAGGCCTGGGAGAGACTTGGGTCTGGCCCTGTTCTCAACTCTTAGGCCTTGCCCGGGGCTTTGGCACTCTGTCCATCCCTCAACCCCATTGGCTCTCTCTGCCCTGGGTTCCCTGGGCTCACCCCCACCCCCACCTTCCCAAGGGTTCTGGCCTCCTGGGTCTGTAAAGTTCTCTGGCAAGGGGCAGGGCGTGGAGCGGGGCAGTGGAGGCCCCACACCTGCACATGCTGCAGCAGCCTCTGGGTGCACCAGTTCCCCAGCTCCGCATATTGGGCTGCCAGCTCCATATCCGCCTCGGAGAGCTGTTCCACCAGGTTGAGCAGCATCATGGGAACGGCCATGGGCTCTACGGCTGGGGCCCCTGCCAACCGGGGCTGGCCCAATCCTGACTGGTCCTCACGCACCCAGCGGACAATCTGATCCATCATCTCCACTGCTTCCCTCTAGGAGATGGGGGAATGCGCAGGGAGGCCTGGGCTGAGGCTGTATCCCATCCCATCTGTCCCATTCCCCAGGTACCTGCATAGTTCCGAGGACAGAGCCTTGGGGTGGGAGAGTCCATTGCTCTCACAAAGTCCAAAGACACTTTGACTTGGGTGTCCTGGCCCTGGCCCTGGCCCTGGAGGCAGGTGCTGGGAGCCAGGTAGACCCACCCTACCCTCCCTCAGGGGCCCCCAGTCTGAGGGTGCAGACCACTCCCAGGCTGTGGGGTCAGGGTCTGGCAGCGCAGGGACCCCCAGGGAGTAGGGAGAGGCCCTTTTCCAGTTGGAGGCAGAGTGTAGATAGAGTCCTCTGTGTCCAGTACCCCTGAGGGGGAATAGGGTGTGTTTACAGGTGAAGGGGACTAAGGGAAGGGCAGACACCCATAGACACATGATGACAGTACAGTGCAATAAAGGGAGGGAGGATCTTGTTCAAAGCCCTGGGCCCATTCGGGGCAGGGGAGGGGACTCGCACACTGGGTGGAACTGCATCAAGTGACCACAGCAGAATCCTAGGGTGGGGTCTTCAGGACTCACTCTTAGACCCAGTGGTCACCTGGACAAATCTCCTCTCACACACCTGGTAATGCCCTTCTCCTGTCACCCTCCACAGCTCATTCATGGCCATGGTGTAGAAGCACTCGCTGAAGATGGTCCGCTGCACCTTGACTGGGCGGCCATCCCGAGTTAGCACAAAGGCACACTTTTTGCCAGGAGGTGCCACCCGGGCATAACGCAGCAAAAATTCACCACCTGATGGTTGGGAAGTTGCCACACTAAGACTAAAGGGAGAACCCCGCACAAGCCTTGGAACCTCCCCAGGCCCCTTGCTACTCTTAGATGCCCCTAGGAAGTAGCACACAGGCCCCTGAGTAAGCTGGGAACATGGGGGTAGGGAGGGGGGGTTACCTGCTTTTGCTGCATCCAGAAGCCCAGAGTGGTGGAAGCGCTGGAATTTGCGGTACAGGTAACAGTACATCCACACCTATGGGGCAACATGCCTTTAGCGGGAATGGTCAGGATGAGGGCCAGTCCCAGGTGTCCAGGTGTTGGGAAGAAGAGTGTTGAGATGATGAGTCCCACTGTGTAGGGACTGAGGCACCAGGTGGTCCCCTACCTGCCTCCCCTGAAGCCAGACATACTTGAGGTCATCATACACCTGCCCGTCGTGGCCGAGACACGTGAAGAAGCCCCTGTGGGACACGCAGGTTAGGAGGGGTAGGGCCACTGCATGTGAGAGTTGGTTGAGAGTGATGTGGGGACTGGGAGGGGGCAAAGAGCCCGCCGCACCCGTGCTCCTGGTCGTGGGAGTGCTTGGTCCAGAAGGCCAGCACGCGGTCCAGCTCCTGTTCCACTCGCTGCTTCCAGGCCTGCAAAGTCTTCCGCTCCTTCTCCAAGTCCTAGGGGCATCCGGGCTTGGAGGCGCAGTTCTCTCAGGACGCCCAGGTGGGGCCCAGGGCTGCCCCACAAGTGCCCCCAGAGGCTCCCGGTTCCCACCCCTCGTGCATCCCCCCACCTCTGCACGGGGCTTCTGACCTCACCTTCAACAGAGCCCCTCCAAAATGGAGCTCCCCCTACCCGCTCCACCACCTGCCTGTGGTCCTCGGAGACCCCCGCTCATCTTTCCCTCTCCGCCAGTAAGCCAGACTGAGCTGGTCGCGGTCCCGTGACTGTCACTCAGCTGACCGAATTAAGCCCCATCGCCCCTCCTCTTCAGGGTTCCGCAGGGCCTGGGGGAGGGGCCCATGGCGGGAGGCGTGGCTTGGTGGACCCGCCCCCGCGGTCCGCCCCGCAGCGACCCTCGGGCAGCGAGTCTAGGGACGGCCTCTCCCAGTCCCCTCAACTATAGAGCCACCTTGACTGGGCAGCCAGCATTTCACGGTGGTAAATGCTGGGCAGGAAGGAATGTGGGGCTGGCCTCACCCACCCTGGCTCCCCAGGCAGCCACCTTTAACTGAGCCCAGAGCCGGAGAGGGGCCCCAGTGGGGGCCCCGGGAGCAAGACGGCGCAGCAGGGCAGGAAACAGCTGGAGATGTCTCAATTCAGAGGCCCTTCTGACCTGTGACCACCTTGACCACCAGGGGGTCGTCAAGTCCTCTCTGTTGAATCAGCTTGTCACTACCCACTTCAGCAATCAGTAAAGGGCAACCAATGACTTCTGTACCCATGTGATGCAGCTGAAAGGCCAGATAGTACCTGTGCAGGTGAGAGCGGGTGTCCCCTTCTCTGGGCTTGTTTTCCAGCTGTCCAGGCCTGTTTCAAGTTGCTCTGACTGCCTGATCCAATGCCACAAGGCAGGCTGGCTCAGCCCCTCCTCTCCTTCCCTGCCAACTGGAGGCTTCACTGCCCCATAATGCCTGAAGTCCCTTGGCTCCCAGGTGTGGTTTAGAGAATTTTGGATTTCTGTGGGTTTTTTTTTTTTTTTGGCAAGGGCTGGGTTTGAACCCTCCACCTCAGGTATATGAGACC